CAGAGAGACCATGTCTCAAAAAAATATAAAAATAAAAAAGGCTGTGTCATGGGGCTGATGTCTTAATCCTAGATCTGGAGGTTGAGGCTGGAGGATTGCCTGGGACTCGGAGTTGTCAAAACTAGCCTGAGCAAGACCCTTCTCACTAAAAATAGAAAGATAATGATGTCATGGTGGCAAGCACCTGTAGCTCCAGCTACTCGGAAGGCTGGGGCACGAGGATTGCTTGACTGGAATTTGGAGTCCTGGAGCAAGTTAAATGCCATGGCCCTCTAGCCCGGGCAACAGAACAAGAGACTATCTCAAAAAAAGAAAAAAGAAACCACCTTCTTTGCTCAGCCTCATGAAGCAACCCCTCATCTGTTAAAGTTTTATTTATTTTTTTAGAAAGAGTAGTCCATCATACTCTTACCTCTCTCCTCAAGACCTCCCAACTGGCTTCCCAAGGTGGAATTAGGCAAAGCCTGGCCTGCCTTCTAATTCTGGTTCTCTTGCTATTTCCACAATCATCTGCAGTACCCCACCCTAGAAAGCTTGAACCCTCAAAGTATCCAGAGAGTGGCATCAACTTCTCCCAATGCTCTTTTTTGGAACAGAGTCTCACTTTGTTGCCCGGGCTAGAGTGCTGTGGATCAGCTTAGCTCACAGCAACCTCAAATCCTGGGCTCAAGTGATCTCCTGCTCAGCCTCCCAAGTGAGCTGGACTACATGCATGCATCCACCATTCCGGCTAATTTTTATAATATATATATGTGTGTGTGTTATTGGCCAATTAATCTTCTTTATTCATAGTAGAGGATGAGTCTCGCTCTTGCTCAGGCTGGTTTTGAACTCTCTGACCTTGTGCAATTCACCCGCCTCAGCCTCCAGAGTGCTAGGATTTACAGGCGTGAGCCACAGAGCCCAGCCCCCAATTCTTAATGTTGATACTTGACTTCTCCATTAATAACAAATGTTCTTAATGATATCTAGACTACAGAATCTTTTCCAGAAGGTTTTCAACTTACTTTGCCTAGATCCATCAGAAAAATCACTATCTATGGCAGCTATAACCTTACAAAATGTACTTCTTAAATAGTGACGTTGAACGTAGGAAATTACTCCTTGATCTATGGTGCTGCAGAATGGATGTGTTAGCAGAATGAAAATATTAATTTCCCTGTACATCTCCATCAGAGCTCTTGGTAACGATGGGTGCATTGTCAATGAACAGTAATTTTTTTTTTTTTTTTTTTGAGACAGAGTCTCGCTTTGTTGCCAGGCTAGAGGAGTGCGTGGCGTCAGCCTAGCTCACAGCAACCTCAAAACTCCTGGGCTCGAGCGATCCTTCTGCCTCAGCCTCCCTGGTAGCTGGGACTACAGGCATGTGCCACATGCCCGGCTTAATGTTTTCTTATTATATATCAGTTGGCCAATTGATTTCTTTCTATTATAGTAGAGACGGGGTCTCGCTCTTGCTCAGGCTGGTTTTGAACTCCGACCTTGAGCAATCCGCCGCCTCGGCCTCCAAGAGCTAGGATTACAGGCGTGAGCCACAGCGCCCGCCGAACAGTAATATTTTGAAAGAATCTTTTAAGCAGTAGGTCTCAACAGTGGGCTTAAAATATTTAGAAAACCATGCTGTAAACAAATATGCTGTCATCCAGGCTTTGTTGTCCCATTTATAGAGCACAGGCAGAAAACAGCATCATTCTGAAGGGCCCTAGGATTTTCAGAATAGTAAATGAGCACTGGCTTCCACTTAAAGTCACCAGCTGCAACAAAACAGCCTGTCCTTTGAAACCAGGCATTGACTTCTCTCTAGGTATGGAAGTCCTAGATGGTATCTTCTTTCAATATAAGGCTGTTTAATCTACATTGAAAAGCTGTTTATTATACCCATCTTCATCTATTATCTTCACTAGATCTTTCAGATAACTTGCTGCAACTTCTACATCAGCACTTACTGCTTTATACCTTGCACTTTCATGTTATGGAGACAGCTTCTTTTCTTAACCCTTTGCACTTGCTTGCGTTTTTCTCAATTCCTTTACTTGGGATTTAATTTTTTAAATACTCCAGATTTTACAAAGTGAGGCAGTAGAATACAAAACTGGAGTTTCTTTTCATACAAACTTATTTATTTGAATTTTTTATATTTCAAATTATTGATACATTCAAAGAGTAATTTTTCTTTTTTTTTTTTTTTTTTTTTTTTTGAGACGAAGTCTTGCTTTGTTGCCCAGGCTAGAGTGAGTGCCATGGCATCAGCCTAGTTCACAGCAACCTGAAACTCCTGGGCTCAAGCGATCCTACTGCCTCAGTCTCCCGAGTAGCTGGGACTACAGGCATGCGCCACCATGCCCGGCTAATTTTTTGTATATATATTTTTAGTTGGTCAATTAATTTCTTTCTATTTTTAGGAGAGACGGGGTCTCGCTCAGGCTGGTTTCGAACTCCTGACCTCAAGCAATCAACTCGCCTCAGCCTCCCATAGTGCTAGCATTACAGGCGTCAGCCACCATGCCCAGCCCCAAAGAGTAATTTTAATCTCTATAATTTTTGCTAACCGTGTAGAGTCACACTCAACATCCGAGTGTAAAGGGTTAAACCTCATGAACCAACCTCTGCTAGCTTCAAACTTTCCTTCCACAGCTTCCTCACCTCTCTTTCAGCCTTCATAAAACTGAAAAGAGTTAGGGACTTGCTCTGGATTAGGTTTTGGCTTAAGGGAATGTTGTGGCCGGTTTGGTCTTCTATCCAGACCACTCAAACTTTCTCTGTATAAGCAATAAGGCTGTTTCATTTTCTTATCATTCATGTGTTCACTGAAGCAGCACTTTTAATTTCTTTCAAGAACTTTTCCTTTGCATTCACAACTTGGCTAATCATTAGTTGCAAGAGGCCTAGTTTTTGGCCTATCTTGGCTTTAGACATGCCTTCCTCAGTGAGCTTAATTAATCATTTCTTATTTTTTACTTCAAGTGAGAGACTTGTAGCTCTTCCTTTCACTTTAACACTAAGAGGCCACTGCAGGGCTATTAATTGGCCTAATTTCTTTTCTTTTCTTTTTTTTTCCTGAGACAGAGTCTGGCTCTGTTGCCCGGAGTAGCATGCCGTGGCATCAGCCTAGCTCAAGTGATACTCCTTCCTCAGCCTCCCTAGTAGCTGGGACTACAGGCACGTGCCACCCACGCCTGGCTAATTTTTTCTTTTTAGTGGGGGGGTGGGGGGTGGGAGGGTGTCTCTCACTCTTCATTGGGCTGATCTCGAACACCTGAGCTCAAGCAATCCTTCTACCTCAGCCTCCCATAGTGCAAGGATTACAGGTGTGAGCCACCACACCCAGCCTTGGCCTAATTTCAATACTGTTGTGGCTCAGGAAATAGGGAGGCCTGAGGAGAGGGAGAGAAACCAGGGAACAACTTGTCAGTAGAGCAGTCACACACATACAACATTGATTAAGTTTGTCATCTACATGTGTGTGGTTCATGGCACCCCAAAACAGTAACAATAGTAACATCAAAGATCACTGATCACAGATTACCATAACAGATATAATAATGAAAGTTTGAAATACTGTCAGAATTACCAAAATGTGACACAGAGACACGACATGAGCACATGCTATCGGAAAAATGGCATCTATAGACTTGCTCAAGGCAGGGTTGCCACAAACCTTCAACTTGAAAAAAAAAAAAAGCAGTATCTATCTGTGAAGCTCAATAAATCAAAGTGCAATCAAATGAGATGTGCCTATATTGTCTTTGACTCTTACCAAAGCCCTAGGTTTCCACAGATGAAAAAATGGAGGTTCAAAAGGTTTGGGTGATTCACCTGGCTTAGTAACTCCCAAGTGCCACAGCCTTTCCACCACTTGGCACTGCTGCCCAAAGCCCTAGGCTATGGGTTCCCTGCCTCAGGTACACAGCTAGGTACTCAAAAATTAGTTAAATTAGGAAATAACCAACAAACTAGGAGAAAGCTAAGCAAATTGTGGTTGACCAACAAAATACTATGAGACTCTTCAGAAGGAAGATGTTGATAAGTGGAAATCTACATCAGATGAAAATGCACAACCTCCTATTTCACAAGAGCAAGATCGCCTAGATCTCAGATGCAGGTTTCCATCTGCTTGGCCTCAATTACCCAAAGCTAAGTCACCTGACCCCCCACGTCCAATCTTCCCAACTCTCCTCAACCTGTCTCAAAAACCTGCCCAGGACTCCCTACTGCCCACACTGCCAAATCTGAATTCTTAATCCTGGCCTTCAAGGTCCTACCATCTGACCAAGTCTTGTTGTTTCCTGGATTACTTTGGCCTTTGCTGGACTCTTTTCCTCACCCCACAGAACCCCATCTTGGATACAGTTCTCACCAACTATATCCAAAGTCCTATCCAGCTGAGACACCAGTCAACACTGTCAATTCTGACACTAGAATTGGCTCATCTTGGCTCTCAGCAAATGCTGGTGCCTTTGCCCACTTCCATAAAAAGGGAAGTGGCTTTTGTTTTTTAATAAAAGTGGATTTACATGACATTCATTTGAACCTATGTGATTACCCACATGATCCACATGGAGTTTCTATCCAAGAACCTCTGATTTAGGTTTTTTCAATATGGAGGTAGAGAACTGATTTAGACCACCTGAGCAGCCAGGTGGGCTTGGGTGGGATGCTGCTCCACTTCCTCCTCTCCTAACTCACCGCAGAGCTTTCCCATGAATCAGAACCAAAGGCTCATTATCAGCCTAGTTTCTTTTTTCTCCCAGTTTCTTCATACATAGGGGAAAACATGGTTGAGGGAAAAGCTTCTCACTACAATAACATTTTTAGAAAAACTTTAGAAAGTGGGTGTGTCAAAACTGGGTAAGAGAAAAATGACAATAACTTACCAGTTGGAAAAAGTTTTCCCATGAAAGTTCTCACCAACTAGATCCAAAGTCCTATCCAGCTGAGACATCACACACTGTCAATACACATACCCTGGCCAACCCCTAGATTAATGCACACAGACTTACCTTATCTGTCGTAACTGCCAGCTGTAGGGACATCCCAGCGTTGCTGTAAACCTCTGGTGAGGGGCATTTAGTCGTCAGCAACTTTCCAGAATGAACAATTCGGCAAAGAACAATCCCATATAAGCATTTATCTTTGCTGTGCAGCTATTTCTCAAGACAGATTCCTAAAGAAGTAGAATTACTGGCTTAGAGGATGCACACATTTTAGATTCTGATACTTAAACTAGTTGAGAAACTTTCCATGGTAATCTCAAACTCTTTGTATTTAGGATTTACCCAATAGAACTTGTTTACAATGCAAAATCCTGACACACTCCCAGCCTTTCTCCACCCCCACCCCATTCTCCTGGAGGAAGTGTGGAGAGGGGCTCTAGAAGCTGCTTTGTTATGCAGGCGGCTGTCCTATAGGCAAGGGTAAGCCATCGCTCCCTCCTATTTCCATAACCTGATCTAGCACAAGACTTGGGAAGCACTGGCTTAGGGAGCTGCCATAGGCAGAATTGACGGTTATGTCTCTGACCTCTGACCCAGGCCCCCGGTAGTTAGCTTCCCCAAAAGGCAGAGTCTGGCTGCAGAGTCACACACACAAAACGCCTAGTGTGGAGTTCAAGCTCAGCAGGTGATAACAGGCTCACTTGGCTACACCTCTATTTCCCCTCCAGGCTACCCTGTTCTCCTACAAGTTCTGTGATCCCAGCTGCCGGGTTAGTTTTGCCTTTCTTACCTAAGACTCCTCAAGCCTCCCCTTTCCTATCCGAAGGCTGTGGATGGAGCACCATTTGGCAAAAAATTGATTCTGACTACCACTCTGGGCCTCAGTTTCCCCATCTGTGAAATAGAGAGCACTGGGCAGTGCCACTGACATTTGGGGTGCTGCTGGGAGGAGACCAGCATGGCCAACTAGGTTCTTGGCATTTTATGGGCAGTCCGGCTTCAAGGGGGAGTCCAGGTGCGCCTGGTGGTGTAATCAGCATTCTGATGGGCTTAAGGCCTGCTTAAAAAAATCAGACTTTCGCTGAGTTCTCCATTGCTAGAATGCAATTAAGAGCAAAAGCTGTTTTCCATGCTGCTTTCCAAGCTCACGGGCCCTAGCTATCTGGGCCTAGATGAGGGAACAGGCCCAGAAGAGGCCTTGGCAGGTTTGAGTCAGGCTGACTCTGTCCTGGGCTGCCCTATGAGGTGGTACGGGTACCGGGATCAGAGAGCAGGGAAGGGAGTGCTGACGGATGGAGGCCAAGGACAATCTCCTGGAGTTGGGCATAACGCGAAGAGGAACAAGAAACCAGTGAGGACTGCTGGGAGCTCCTAGACTCACGTCTGCCTCGGTCAAAACGTCCTGGACTGAATGACATGGGTTGACTGTGTGAAGAAACCAAGTCCGGAACCTCTCTGCGGCTCACGAGAAAGCCAGCGACTTATCCGTAACAGCATCTACCTATAACCGGAGCCCCGCACGGCGTCGCTGACTGGAAACAAGCGTTGGCGGCTTTGGCCTCCGCGCCCCGTGCGCTACACCGCGAGCTTCGCGCTCACATCTGAGGCGGCCTCCTTCCCCACTCAACTGACCCTTGAGGGCGGAAAAGGCGTCGCATTCTGGGCCCTGTTCCTTACAAGCTGGGGGGTACATCCCCAGACTAACTGGGCCTCAGTTTCCCCTCGATGCAATGGGAACAATCACACCGCCGGCAGAGGTGGCTGAGGGAGCGAACTTACAAAGGTCTGGATTTGCATTATTTCTCCCTTGGTAATGGCCCCCAAGCCCAGCGCGGAGCACACAGTAGGCGCTCCGGAAACGCTCTCCAAAGGAGGAACCGGCCACTTCCTGCCCCCGAGCGGACTACCCTGAGCCGACGCTCCCACCGCTCCTCCTCGGAGGCCATGTGGCATTCCTGAGGGTGGGGGTGGGCGCAGGAAGAAGGTGCCCTCCCGGCCCCGCCCCCTCCGGGCGCGGTGGGCGGGGTCTGTCCTCGGCGCCGTCGGCCCGCCCCGCGGGGGGTGGGCGTAGCTCGATGCGCTCCGCACAAAGTTTGTTTTCTCCCTCAGGGCGGGTGGGGGAGGGCGCGGAGAGCGCGGGGGGGAGGAGAGGGGATCTGACGTCAGGCCGCGAGGTGCTTTCCAGCCGCGAGCTGTCAGGCCGAGTGTCAGGCCGGGCAGGTACGCGGCGCGCTCCCCCGGCGCCCCCCGCCCCCTGCCAGGACGCCCCGCACCGAGCCTGAGGCCGCGTGGACCCGAAAGCCGCTCGGAAAAGTCAGTGCGGGGCGCGGGAGGGGGCCAGATGGGGGTGGAGGGCGCGCGGACTACTTGGAAAGTTTCTTCTTCTTGGTCGGGCGGGGGAGGGGGCGTCGTCCTGGCGCGTGCGATTGTGGGTGTGTGAGCTCGAGTGTGAGTCGCGACTGCAGGGTGCTGGCGGGCCCGGTGGGGGCTGTTCCAGCCCCGGGAGGAAGCCCGCTTGACCCCGGTGGGGGGCCCAGCTCCCCAGGATCCCACCCTGGGAGAGGGCCGCTCACGCCCCAGACCGGGGTGAGCGCGCGGGGGGGCGGGTTTGTTTGGTTTCAAAAGTGCACGTTACTAACCGCCGGCAGCCCCCCCCGCGCCGCCGCGGAGCCGGGGAGGGGGCAGCCGAGAGTGACAGCTGAGGGTGGGGGCAGCGAGAAGGGCCCGGAGCGGGGGAGCTGGGGAGCCCGCGCGAGTTCCCCTTTCCTTTGGAACAAAGGAAAGTCTGTCTCCGAGGCATCTGTCACTCCCAGGCGGGCCAAGGGAGCGGGGCGCGTGGGGCCCGCGACCCGGAGAAAGTTTGTGCGCGCCGGGACCCTCGGGCAGGCCGGGGGTGAGCCGAGCCTCCCGCGGGGGAAGCGCGCAGCGTCCGGGGCAGGGGGCGGCCAACATGGAGTCCGGGCGCTGGGCTGGGGGGGGCGGTGCGGAGGTGGGAGCCCAGCCCCCTGCCCTCCCCTCCCCCTCCGGGCCGAGTTCGGAGCACAAAGCCGAGCGCGCACGCTCGGCCGGCCCCGCGCCCCGAAGAGTCTGCCAGCGCCGAGCAACGGGGGAAGGGGGTGGGAACCAAACTTTTTCCTGCCCCGGGACAGACACGTGAGTTTTCTTTCTTCCACAGCCCTGCCCCATCGGGATTGCGGGCCGCGGGGGAGCCGATGCGCCGAGTCTGCCCCCGGGTGGGGGGATGGGGGTGCAGGCGCCCAGAGCGCCGGCCGATTCCTCGCAGCCCGGGGAGCCATGTGCTCCGACTCGGTCTGGGCCGCGGGGGAGGCTGCGCGCTTTGTGTGAACCGCTGGGAATGCGAGCGTGAGTGCGCGGCCCGGGGGAGTGCAGCGGGAGAGTTGTCAGAAAGTTAGTGCGGGAGTCGCTGCAGGTGGCGTCGTGGGAGTGTGTGGGAGGGTGCATGGGACGTCGTGTCGAGGGGGTGCTGCCACAGGCCAGATAGGTTAAGAACTGATGGCCAGTGCGGTGACGTCGGAGCTCTCTCGGTCGGAGAGATAGGGGTGGGCGGGTACAGAAGCCGGGCTAGCCGCATGGGTCACAGTTCCGTGCTACGTGTGGGGTTGGTAAAGCTGTGTGTGTGCTGTATGTGTTGGTGAAAATCCCGGCGCTTGCAGGGCTTGAGCGGTGGGTCGGTGCCAGTCACCTGAGCACTGTTGTGCGTGGAGCGAGTGGGGAGTGTGTGTCTGGGCGCAGTGTGGGGCGAGTCTAGGAGAACCTCCCGGACGGCAGGCAGACCTGCGTTGCAAGATACTGAGGTAGAAAAGTTTGTGTAGACTGAGGGGTCATCCCCTGGGCCCACCCCAGGAACCCTGCAGACCGGGGCTTGGCTGGCAGCCAGGGTGGAATTTGTACAGGATAGCCTTCTGTAAACTTCTAACCACCTGCGGGGGCTGCATCCCTGAGCCTAGATCTGCTGCCCCGGCGGCCCAGAAATGTCTGGCCTCAGAAAGTAGCCTGCCGCTCTGCTCTCTGAGGAGTGGCACCTCAACCACTGCCTGTCTCACCTCCAGGTGGCCTGGCTGAGACCCTTCCCTCGAAAGCCTGGCCTAGCGGGCCAAGAGATCTGGGCTCAAGCCCAAGTAGAGGAAACAAAACCTGGGAGATGCCAGAGTCTGTTGGCCGGCCTGCTGGCGAGCTGTTAAAAGGCTGAGAAGGGAGGAGCCTTGAGATTCTGGCATCAGCTTGACCTAGAACTTTTGCTTTTAAAATGTAAATCTCTCTTGCTTGTGTGAACAAGAACTTTGTCTGGAGATGAGCAGCTGAGTTGGGTTATCTACAGAAAAACCTTCCTTCATTTGACCAGTGAAGTGGGGCCTCAAGCCCAGAGATGAGAGGACACTTGATCAGGGTCACATAGCCAAGTGGAGGGTTGGGTAGGGACCAAAGCGCAGGCTCATCAGGATTTTGAGGGATTGAGTCTAGGACCAGGCCAAAGGGCCTGACAAGGGAGAATATCCAAGAAACAAGCAGTAGAGCTGACTCACCATTCTCTGCAAGGTACACAGTAGGTTCTCTCTGTTAATTTTAATTATGTGGATTGCTGCAGACCATCGTGAATCCATGCAGTTTCCAGACGCCTCACTGGGCCTTGGGAGACCTGGAAGGCAAGATGGTGTACAGCCCACAAGGCAGCTGAGGGAAAGCAAACTGCCTGCATCCAAATCCTACCTGCATGTCATATCCTGGAAGTGGGATGCTCCCCGCCCCTCCATAACAGCTTTATGAGATATAATGCACATGCCATATAATTGACCCATTTAAAGTATACATGTCAGTGGCTTTTAGTATATTTACAACTATGTTTAACATTAGGACAATTTTCATCACCTCAAAAAAGAAACGCCACACAATTTCCACTTTTCTATCTCTCCAGCCCCAACTAACTACTAATCTACCTTCTGTCTCTACACAGTTGCCTATTCTGGACATTTCATGACAAAAAGAATTGTAAGATATGTGTGCATTTGTCACTGTCTTTCACTTAGCATAATGCTTTCAAGGTCCATCCATGTGTCAGGATTTCACTCCTTTTTATGGCCAACTAATAATCCATCATAGAGATTGTTTATCCATTCATCTGCTGAGGGACACTGGTTGCTTCTACTATTCAGCTATTACAAGTAATGCTGCTGTGAACATTTGTGTTTGAGGTTTTGTGTGGACACAGGTTTTCATTTCTCCTGGGTAGATACCTAGGAGTGAAATGGCTGGGGGTTGCACGGTACTCTGTTTAACTGCCCTGTGTCTTGGGTGGCTTTCTTAATCTCTTTCTGTTATTTCATCTATAAAATGGCAATGATAGCAGTTTCTCCTTTAAAAGGGGCTTGTGAGGATTAAGTGAGATAATGTAAAGTGCTCAGTACAGAGCATAGAAAACAGTAGACCTCAATTATTGAGTAGCTGCAGTTACTTCTAATCCTTGGTCCTGCTTATGAATGAGCTGGCATTCATTTCAGTGTTACCTACCCGCTCCTTGAAATGGAGGCCTTTTACACTCTTCCTATCTAGCTCGCTCAGGCTGTGGTATGGCCTGAGACATTGAACTGTGACTCCCCTGATTCTGGTGCTCCAGGCTCTAGTAATGCTGAGTGGGTTTGGAGACTAGGAAGAGGGTGAGAGGCAATACATGGTTATGATGTCCCCATCCCGTGTCACTTGTCCTAGGCTTGCCAGAGGTCCAGCCTAGCCCCTAGACACCATGTCAGACAGTGATCTAGGCGAGGATGAAGGCCTCCTCTCTCTGGCGGGCAAGAGGAAGCGCAGGGGGAACCTGCCCAAGGAGTCTGTGAAGATCCTCCGGGACTGGCTGTACCTGCACCGCTATAACGCCTACCCCTCCGAGCAGGAGAAGCTGAGCCTTTCTGGACAGACCAACCTGTCAGTGCTGCAGGTAAGGAAGGGGATCCAGGTGGTGGGTTAGCAGGAGACCTGGGTTCTAGTTTGTCCCAGACCTTTCACTGATTCACTGTGTGGTCTTGGGCCAGTCATTTCCCCTCTCCAGGCCTAAGTTTCTTCTTGGGTCAAGTGAGAACACCCATTCTCCCTGCCTCAAGGGAACACAAAATGAGGTCATTTGCAGTAAGATTTCAGACTGTGGAGAGTTCTGCAGAGACAAGGAACTAGTGGTTATTAATATCTAGGTGTCATTATTAACACTGGAGGCATTTAGAGGCTGTGGGAAGGTGTTGATGTCTGAGATTGTGGGATCCAGCCCCCAGCCCCAGAGCAGTGTCCCAGGTGGGGACTTGGTTGTAGGGGGCAGCTTGTGATCTGCAATGTGGTTAAGAGAAGAGTTGGAATCACAGCCAAGGAAAGGGTCAGAGATTCTGGGTTCAAAACCCAGTTCTGCCATATGTCTTGATTTACCCATCTGTAAAGTGGGGGTCAGACTCCTTTTCTGCCTCATGGAACTCTTGTGAGGAACAGAATCAAAACTGGGTGAGAAACCGCTTTGTAAACCACGTGCAAGAGCACACTCAAAGGCAGTGCAAAGCGTTGTCCCCTTTGAATTGGCCCTGTTGCTGACCTGCAGGTGTCTTTGTCCTGTTTGTGGTGCTGAGGCAGGATACCCTGGACCAGTATTACCCTGCCTTCCTGGGAGACACATAGTAGGCCCACAGCCTAGCCCCAGAGGCCCACGCTGCCCCGCTCACCCCCACTCTTCCCCTTGCCCCATCCTTTCATAGCCCATTAATCAAGTGTACGGTGCTGTCTCTCCCTCCTTCCCTTCCTCCCAGCTCCTGTCCTTCCTCCATGAAGAGACATGGTAAGTGTTTCAGCCCTCAGAACTCCTGTCACCTGACTTTATACTCGCTGGGCAGTGGTTAATCTGAGTCTCTCTACGAGAAAGGGTCTAGAGTTACAGATCCTGACTCAGATTCTGTCTTCTCCACAAGCAGCAGCCTGGACCTAGGCCAGGTCATTGCCTTCTCTCTGAGCTTCATTATTTCCTCATCTGAAAAGGGGGAGATGATTGTACCACTCTCATAGGATGCAGGGGAGGGACTGAGCAGAAGAATCCAAGGCTGACTGTGAGGTATTAGGCACAGTGGTGCTTCTACTCCTGTCCTCATCCTCATCTTCACCTCTCCTTCTAGGTCATAAAGTCTGGAACTGACTCTGGGTGACTATGTGTGTAGCATCTCACAGTGTTCCTCCTGATAACCCCACTAGGGCCAGCTCTATGCTGAGCAGAGTTGGGGTCCCAGAGAGGAAGCAGACACATTCTTACCCTTGAGGAGTGTCTAGTCTGGGATGTGGGCTGCAGGGCCAGCATGGCCACTGATGTTTGCAAAAGTGATCACAGTTGGAATAGAAGGCAGCAGAGACCCACCCGGGGCAGGGCCTGGAGCCTCAAATAGCCTCCCAGAAGAGGTGCCCTTGAACTTACAGGATATAGAGCTATAAGGCAAGAGGCCTAGAGACCGAGAGCCAGGATTACCTTAGACAGTCTCTTTGCCAGTCCCCCTTCCTCTAGCCTTGCTCCTTTAATCCATTCTTTTGAACACTAGTGAAAATCTGATCATGTCACACACTGGGGACCCCACTGCCCTCAGAATAGAGTTCAAGTTCCTTAGAAGCTCACCAGCCTCCTCTTAGTTCTTCTCTTCCCTGGCCCTTAAAGCCTTGGGCCTCTAGGCCTGCTCCCCTGGCTGTCAACAGCTAGGTGCAGCCCTGACCTTTCCTGCCCTGGCTCACTCCATCTAAGCATCTCTTTCTCATGAAAGCATTCTCTGACCCACAGCCTAGCTTTGGGGCCACTGCTTATATTCCCAGTGCACCTCATACCTGTCCCGTCAAACCACTTGTCACATGGCGTTGGGATTTCTTTTTGTTAAGGACACTGTTTCCCAAATCTGAGAAAGATACCAACTATTTATTTATTTATTTATTTATTGAGTCAGAGTCTCACTTTATTGCCCAGGCTAGAGTGAGTGCCTTGGTGTCAGCCTAGCTCACAGCAACCTCAAACTCCTGGGCTCAAGCAGTCCTCCTGCCTCAGCCTCCCAAGTAGCTGGGACTACAGGCATGTGCCACCATGCCCGGCTAATTTTTTCTGTGTGTGTGTGTATATATATATATTAGTTGGTCAATTAATTTCTTTCTACTATATAGTAGAGATAGGGTCTCGCTCTTGCTCAGGCTGGTTTCGAACTCCTGACCTAGAGCAATCGGCCCGCCTCGGCCTCCCAGAGTGCTAGGATTACAGGCGTGAGCCACACCCGGCTGATAGGTGATATTTTGCTGACCATTGGTGTGTGGTGTGACAAAGGCCCTGGCTTTGGGGCTGAGTAAGTCTGGATCACCATGGGCCTTTGGAGACTTTCAAGGAAGGGTTGGCTGGCTGGCCCTGGGCATGCCCTGGAGGGAGGGGTTCCATGGTGGCCACCATGCCCTAGAATCCTGCTAAGATTTAAAAGCAGAGGGTCCCCTCTGTCACTCCTTGGTGGAAACTATACTGTGAACCCTACATCAGCCCCAACTGCATACCTCTCATAACTCCTCCAAGCTGGCTCCTTCCCGGTCATCACCAGTTCCTGTACATAAACCCCTTAAATATTTCTGGGATTTGGATTCTTTCTTACCTTGATCCAAGCCATCATTTTGTGATCACTTGTCACTCCCCTACTTAAATCCCTTCAGTGGCTCTTGTCAGCCTAATGACAACATCACCTGCCCTTGTCTGCACTTTGGGCCTCATTCCTGGCTCCTCACATTCTTGCTACAGTGGTCCACCTGATCAGGAAAACTACTGACCCTTAGAGGAGTTGTGTGCTCACCCAGCACCTGGACTGGGTCAGAGCATTGGGTCACTTGGCTGGGATTGCTTTTTAGACTTCAGTATTTTCTAGAGGTGTGGAGAGCAGTGAGCTAGTTTTGTTATTGCTGTAGCCCCAGTGTAGCACAGTGCTTGTTGGCATCTGGTTGGTTAGGTGCTCAGAAAATAATTGTAAATGACATAAAATGACTATAAAGTGTTGGAAATGTCAACGGGCAGAACCTCAGAAGTAAGGAAATGTAGTGGCTCCTCAGTCCAGAAAAACTGGCTTAAGTCCCTGGAGGCATCTCTTCTTCCTGGTTTTTTTGTTTTTTGTTTTTTCTTTTAGATAAAGGTCTTGCTCTGTATCCAGGGCTAGAATGCAGTGGCATCATCATAGCTTACAGCAACCTCCAACTCCTGGGCTGAAGGGGGTCCTCTTGCCTCAGCCTCCTGAGTAGCTGGGACTACAGCATGCACCACCATGCCCAGCTAATTTTTCTATTTTTTGTAGAGATGGGGTCTCGCTCTTATTTAGGCTGATCTCAAACTCCTGACCTCCAATGATTCTCCCTCTCAGCCTCCCAGAGTGCTAGGATTATAGGCATGAGCGTGCCTGGCCTCCTATATTTAACTTTTTAAATTTCCTTTTTTATTAAGGACATTTTTAAATATCCACAAAAGTAAGAGAATATTATAGTGAACCCCATACCAGTCCTGGTTTCAACAAGAGTCTACATTTTGCCAAACTTGTTTTATCTCTCCCTGGGGACATCTCTTTTGATTGTCTCTCTTAACCCTCCCAGGAGTGATCTCATTAGCAAGTCAATGAGTCATTTAACTAACTGGTTTGCTGGTACTTGCCTGGGGCTAGGCAGTTGGGAGGATAATACGGAAAAAAAACGTCTTTTGTGAAGGATTTTCACAGGTCCCTGTGACACCCACCAAGCCCAGTTGATTGGTTGGACTAGATCTGTGGTTTGCTAACAGTTGTAGGCAGCAACCTCGGAGGGTTCTGGGCCCCATTCCTTCACTGTAGCATTGACAGAGTCACACTGTGTGCTCCGTGCTAGCAACAGTGGTGGAACAGGTACCTCCCCATTCCTTTATTGCTGTCAGGCCTCCTTCCAAATGCATGCTCCTGAGGGACGCCCACACGGGGACAGGGCCTTGGGTGGAGAAAGGAGCCTGGTGCCCAGGCAGTGGTGGCCTGCTATGTAGGAGCGGTGGCCTGGCCTGGCCCCCAGGGCAGCCAGTGATTATCTCTACTCTCCTCCTCTTCTTGGCTCCAAAGCTAGCTGCCTTCCCATTCCTCCCACAGGATCTCTGTGTTCCGATCTCAAGGCCTTTTGTCTATGTAGATATTTTTTGAGCTTCTGTGTAAGTTTTTTTGTTTAAATAAAGGGCTTCGCCCTCGAGGTAAGTCAAACCAGCGGGCTAAACTTGGGCAGCCAGACTCTCTGGGTAGCTTGTTTAAAAACACATTCCTGACTCTATCCCTCACCCCCACCACATCTATAGACCAGATGAAAAATGGCTGACAGTTTTTTTAAATCTTGAGCACAGTGGCTCATGCCTGTAATCCTAGCACTCTAGGAAGCCGAGGAGGAAGGATTGCTTGAGGTCAGATGTTTGAGACCAGCGTGAGCAAGAGTGAGACCTCATCTCTACAAAAATTAGATAAATTAGCATTAGCCGAGTGTGGTGGTGTGCACCTATAGTCCCAGCTACTCAGGAGGCTGAGGCAGAAGGATTGCTTGAGCCCAGTAGTTAGGTTGCAGCAAGCTATGATGACTACTCTAACCAGGGTGACAGAGCAAGGGTCTGTCTCCAAAAATAAAAAATCACCCCCAAGGTGATTCTAATACAGGCAGCTGCCTTTACGAGCACCTCGGTACAG